GGAGGCCGACAGGTGGGCTCCGCCGTGGAACCCCCTACGGCAGCCCCGGGAAGGCTGGCGCTGACCCTCGTGGGTCGGTCTCAGTGGGTCCCTGCCCACCCGCCCACTTCCCAGCTCGCACCCTGCCTTCCCCGCCCTGCATCCTCTCCAGAGGGGCCCGCGCCAGAGGCTAAGGTCACTGAGTCCTGAGCACCGCTTTCTTCAGGGGTGGGGGTGCGTGGCCCTGGCGGGGACGACGGAGGCCTGGCTGTTTGACCTGGAAGGGACAGCGGCCCTGGGCCCCCTGCACCGCCGGGGTGGGGGTGCCGTGGACAAGGACCCCGGCAGGCTGCTCCCCGCCCCCACGCCGCCGGCCTCGCAGCACATCTGCAGCCTGGCGGGCCGGGCCGCTCACCCGCCTGTGCTCAGAACCAGGCGGGGCTTCCCGACCGCGCAGGTGCTGGTGGACTGGCCAGCCGGGTGGCTGGGTGGCCTTTTCTTCAGCTTCCGTGCTGTGAGACGCTCTGGGCCCTTTCGTAAGCTCAGCCCAGAAGTGGTACTCAGCTGTCAGCAGGCGGGCTGTGGGCGGGAGGGTGCCTGGGCTCTCCGGACCGGACAGCCAGGGCGGTGTGGGGCGGGGCCAGGTGTCCTGGTCATCACCGTGTCTGCGCCCAGCTCCTGCGCTGGCAGCGGTCCACTCCGCAGCGACCCTACCCGTGCTGGGGAGAGTTGCAATCTACGTTTCCTATGAGGAAACTGAGGCGGGGGGCACAGCGGCAGGCCGGAGCCTGCACAGAGAAGCGTTGCTCCAAAGCTGTGCCCAAGGGGGACCTCAGAGCTCGCCCCGAGGGCCCCGCCACGTCCTGTCCTCGTCCCCCTCCCCGCCTACCTGCTGTAAGCCAGCGATGGTTCATTCTGAGTGCGGAGGGGCCTGGGGAGGGGCCCCTGGTTTGGCTCCCTGGGGCTGACCAAGTCCGTTTTAAACTGCGTGCTGGGCCGGGCTGCTTTTTTTTTTTTTCTTTTTTATAGAGTTTATTGGTACTTTTTAGGGATACAGTACAGTTACATTTGTCATTGGGATCTTGTACCTTTACACGACAGGTCTTGGTTCTCTCTTTCCCTTGTACCCCTGCCCTCCCTTCACCCCCTCCACCTTCCCCTGTTTACAAAGACTTTGTTTCCATTTTTTCCTTTTCTCATTTTTTTTCTTTTCCCGCATTTCCTTTGTCCTACCCTTCCCTCTTCCCCTTTCTCCTACCCAGGAACTGTCTTCGAGGTGGGCTGCTGTCTCCGTGTTCCTGCTCAGTAGGGCTGCGCCCTGGTGCTGCACGAACAGCCCGCCGGCAGGATGTGTGGAGAGGGCCCACGTGGCCTTCCTTCTGGTGGGCAGTGGTGCCACCTGCCCTATGCCCTTTGTTCTGGGGGCTCCATGGGCGGGGTCAAGGGCTCTCAAGGGTCTGGACAGCTTGTTAAGTCCCAAGGTGCCTGGGTGCCCCTCGCTCCCAGATGTCGGTGCCTCAGGAGGTGCCGCACCGCACTCAGTGGTGAACAGGGTGAGGGAAGGCAGGGGCTCCCGCTGTGGGGCCCTCCCTGGACACATCCGCATTCAGCCTGAACACCCTGGAGCTGTTTCTTTTCTCTTCTGCACATCTGATTCAGACATCAGTGCCCTCCGGCTCCCCAGCCTGCCCGGTGCAGCTCCTGCCCGGAACAGCAGGGGGCGGAGGCAGGCGCAGTGGAGGAGCGGGGCCTCTTGCTGCCGGGTCTTGCAGTACGGTGGCCAGACTTGCCAGGTTTCTTTGAGGTCGGGCTGGCTCAGTCTCTTGCAGCTTGGAGGTGAGGCTGTTGCATCCCCTTGTGCCTAGGCTGGGGGACAGGCCAGCCCTCTCTCCTAGGGGCCTCACTGTCCCCATCTGAAAAACAGGCCTGCTGGACTGGGATGTGAGCAGTGCACAGAGTAATGTGCCCTGCTTTGGGCCTGCTGCTCGCAGCAGTTGTTACATTACAGGGTTGTTTCGGAGCCCTGTCTGTCAGGCTCCTAAAGCCAGGATGGAGGCCTCAGCCTCCCGTGGCCTGGCTCTTCCTGCCAGGCGGCAGATGGTCCCCGGGGTGCTCCGCCCAGGACTTAGGTGGTCACTTCCTCCTTGTCACTCTCGGTCACTCCTCCTTGACCTTGCTGGCCAACCTTGAGCCTCTTCTACTGCTGCCCGGATGCCTAGGACGGTGCCTGGCTCGCAGCAGCTTATGCCAGGCGCCCGGAGCAGGAGCCAGAGGAACAGCGATGCTGGTGTCGCTGGGAGGCTTTTGGGTCACTCAGGTCAGGGCTACCCTGAGACTTGGCAGGATCCTTCCTGCTGGATGAGGACTTGTCAGGCTGGCAGCATGAGCCACCCAGGAGCTAGAAGGACCCCAGGAAGGCAGGGCCTGCTCCATAGCCTGGGGCACGTCAGTCACCATCTCTGCTCTGGGGTTCCGATCCTGTCCCGCCTCTTCCTCTAGAAGCTGGGCTACATGGGAGGTGTTGGAATTTGGGGAGACTGAGGGCAGTGGAAGGGTCTTTTGTGTTTTTTTCCCCTTGCAGTGTTGGGTGTGGAACCCAAATCCTCAAACAGGCTAGACAAGTGCTGTAGCACTGAGCTGTACCCTGTCCCTCTTTAGTTTTTATTTTGAGACAGGGTCTCACTAAGTTGTCCAGGCTGAGCTGGAGCTTCTCATCCTCCTGCCTCAGCCTCCCAGCCTCCACCACCACACTCAGTATTAGACGGGTCTGGCACGGTGCCTGGCTCTGAGGGACCTTCCAGCCTCTCCTAGCAGCCGTCTTCTCCATCAGAGGGACCCTCGGGCCTGGCGGCAGAGCCCAGCTGCCCCCATGGCCTGGTCCTGCTCCCTGGCACCCAGCTTCTGACATCCTGCTGTGTCCGGTGACAGCCTTCTCCGGGACTGGGACCAAGCCAACTGCAGAGTGTGGGCTGTGGGGCATGTGGCTGGGAGGGGTCTGGGCCGTGTCACTGAAGCCCCTTTGGGATGCCTCCCAGTGGCTGGGCTCTCCGGTAGGGAGACAGCAGGCCCCGGTGACTTGGGTTTGGAAAGATCATTCTTGGCCAGGATGCAAAGAGCAAATGGCAGGGGACAGTAATAGAACCTACAGGTAATCACAGTAATGGACCGGGGTGACAGGAAGGACAGACTCCGGGTGTACTAGGAGGGAGACTCACGGTAACTTTCATTATCTTGTAAACTTGGGATTATGTACTTTTTATCTACTTTTCTTTTTCCAGCTTTAAAAAACCTGATGGGGCCAGGCCTGGTGGCGCACGCCTGTAATCCCAGCACTTGGGAAACTGAGGCAGGAGGATCGCTGTGAGTTCGAGACCACCCTGGGCTACATAGTGAGTTCCAGGTCAGTCTCAACTCTACACAGTGAGATGCTGTCTCAAAAAACAAACAAAACAAAAAAACAGCAACAAAAAACCCGATGGGAATATCTGTCCTTGTCATCAACCATTCTTCTAAAACATTTTTTTTTAAGCTGTACATCACAGAAATGTAATTTTTTGTTTGCTTGTCTTGAAACAGCGTCTCACTATATTCATAGTTCAGGCTGGGCTTGAACTCACAGCAACCCTCCTGCCTCAGCCTCCTGAGTGGGTCACCACACCCAGTCAAATCTTAGTGACTGCTGGTCATTGGACAGCCAGGTTCCTTCTTCCCCTCAACAGTGCTGTGACAGGCTTCTCTGTACAGAATCTCTGCAGGTGTTTCTCTTTAAATATAAGAAACCAAAATGGGGCTCTGTGTTAAAAGCTGGGGCCATTTTCAAAAGCTTTTGACTAAGAAGTGTAAACTGCCCTCCAGGAGATTGTTCCGATTTACCTCTGCAGCCGAAGTGGAGGAGAGGGCCTGCTCACTTGCATCCTCACCGGCCCCATGCCTTCTTGTTTTCTTCGTCGGTGCCATCATCACGGGCTAGAGAGGTGGAAGTCACTGTTTCAAGTTCATTTCCCTGATTACTGCTAAACGGAACCCTGGCATTGAGGTGCTGGCGGAGACTCGGGGTCAGGAAATTAAACACCCTCACTTTACGGACAGATAGGACAGAGCACTGAGTCTGTCACACGGGGTAGGACGGCGTGCATAGCAGCCGGGACGTTTGCTCGCCAGGGAGGGGACAGTGTAGGTTGCAGGGATCTCAGGGAGAGCAGGTGGCAGGATGGGATCCACGGGGACCTCACCGTGAGACGGGCTGGACCGCGGGGCCTCCTGAGGCGGGCATGGGCAGGCACATAGTAAGTGCTCGCTAGATGCTTTCCCAGGAAGGCGGCCGCACAGTGGGGTGGGAGTCCTTGGCCATTCTGCTGGGCTGTCCTGGGAGCACGAACACGGACCGGTGTCCACATTCCCTGGCCAGGTCACTGCTCGATCCTTCTGCGTCAGCTACCCCGGTATGAAGAGCGGGGAGGAAGGGCCAGCTTCAGAATTCCGGGCTTCTGACTTTTTTTTGAGACAAGTTCTCACTGTGTAGCTCAGGCTGGCCTCGAACTGGCGATCCTCCTGCCTCGGCCTCCCGAGTGCGGGGATGACAGGTGTGCACCACCACGCCCAGCCAGGCTTCCAATGTATGTGCACAGGCAGGTGCAGCCTCCCAGGGCTTCAGTCCCAGCATGGTGGTGGCCACCGCGGTGACCTCAGAGTCTGCGTATTACTTTCATCTCCTCTGGCCCAGGCCCTCGCCTTGTGCTCCTGGCATTTGTCACTGACTCCTCCTGGGAGCCCCGTGCGTCTCTGCTTGACGGACGAGGCCAGGCAGGGTGCTGCCTGTGGCTTCGAGCCCTGTCCTGCCAGCCCCAGAGCCTGCACCGTGGACCCCAGGGCCCGGGGAGGGCAAGCGCTCGGGGATGTTGCCGGCAGGGTGGGCGCTGTGGTCACGTGTGTGAGCCCCGACTCGTGTGCACGCTGTGAGCGTGAGTGACGGGGTCACGGCGCATGTTGGGAGTGGGTGAGCCGCGCACACGCGTGCAGGTTGTAAATGTAGCTGTGCCCGGGGGCGGGGGGCGCTGGGAGGAGACACAGCCAGGCGGGGAACCGGATCAGAAGGAGGGGGCTCGGCCGCATTGGTGATGTGGCTGCCGCTTCTGTGTCCCCCTCCTGCCGTGGCCCTGGTGGGCCCTGGGAGCCCAGCTTCCCGTGGGTTGTGATGAGTTCTGTTACCAAGTTCTCGGGCCAGGAGTACAGGTGCTGGCGGCCACAGTGCCCACTCCTGGGCCCACGTTGGAGACAAAGAGAAAGAAGTGTAGGGATTTCCAGGCCTGGGCCTGGGTCAGGTCTTTGTGCCAGCAAAGCCACAGCCTTCCCACCCGAGTCTTCCTGCTGTGGTCTCTGAGTCCCGCGACCTTAGAGTTGCCTGTGTAGGTGGTGAGCACCCCGTCCCGGGAGGCATCCCAGCCACCGCTCCTGGGTTCCTGGGGTGGGTGTGGCCGGACAATGGGTAGATGCTGACAGCTGTAAAGGCAGGGCTCTGCTGCTTCCAGATGTTGTGTCTCCTGGGCGCACTATGGGCAACTTCTGCCTTGGCTTCCTTCAGGAAGGAGGCGGGGCTGAGGCCTTGGGGAGTGCGAGGCAGCCAGGACCTAACACCCGAGGGAACGGCAGGCATGGTGGAAGGGCCGGAAGTGCAGAGCCTCTCAGCGCAGGGCAGACAGGAAGCAGCGAGCCGGGGGAGGAGCCTTCCAGACCACGCCCACTGACCCGCCACTCCCAGCCAGGCCCCGCCCCTCAAGCGAGGCAGCTCCGCGCCCCACCTATGAGCGCAAGGGGCTCTTGGGGACACGGAGATAGAGACACACAGGAGGAAGTGTCCAGGAAGCAATGACAGGAGCCTGTGGGTCGGTGCTCCTGTCCCTGCCCCCGCATCCATCTCCTCCGAGGCCCCAGTGCTGACCATGGGCAGCGACGTGCCCACATCTCCCGCTGTGAGTCCGGGCAGCGCCCCATTTCACTGTTGGCACTGTCCCCGCTCTTGGGGCACCTGCACCTGGGGCCTGGTGGTGAGGCACAGCCTGAGGCCCAGGTGGGGTCCCCTGAGGAGCCCCGTGCTGACCAGCACCCACTTATGCCAGGCCCCCGGGCACCAGGCAGAGACTGAGTTTGTGGGTGCCCGGACACAGCCACAGAGGGGCCAGTGATGGAGGGACCCTGGCGGCTGCCTGTCTTCCGGCCTCTGTGGCCGCACTGGATGCCAGCCCCGGAAGCGTCGCCCTCGTGCTCTGGATTCCAGGCGGCTCTGAGGAATGTTTAACCAGGCAGGAGCTGCACGGCCGGCTCTTTACCTCTCTCTCCGGTCTTGGGGCCATGGCCGCCCTGCCTCAGCCTCTGGGGGACATGAGGTGGTCCCTCTTTTTTCTTTCTGATCTCAAAAGCTGCTCTGGGGACGAGGAAGAGTCAGGATTTGGAGTCAGATCTGTGGCTGCATCTGTGGCTCTGGGTGCATCCTGGCTGGAACCTCTGGATCTGAGGGAGGGGTGGACGCAGGACGTCTGGCCTGCTGGGGTTGGCTGCTCCTGCTCGTAGCCCCACCAGGCCTGGGTTCAAATCCAGCTCCAGCTCTTATCAAGGCCTAGACCTCAGACCCTCCCTTTTCCACCGGGTCCCTTTAGCCCACCTATAAAATGGGCAGATGGTGGCTGGGTTCAGGGAAAATGTTGGCAAAAGTTCCACACCCATCCCGGGCTTTGAATTCCTTCTCTGCCTCCTGGAGGCTTCATATGTGAACTGGGAAAACAGTCTTGGGGGCTTGCTGCCAGGATAGGTGGGTGACCTCCGAACTGGGCCTCCGGCCACACAGAGGCGGTTTAACCTCCAGCCCTTGCCTGTGCCTCCCTGA